GATGCAGATCGGAGCTTCGGATCTCGTCCCTTGTGTGAAAGAGAATTGATGAGGGCCAATAACATAAATCTGTTGTTGGAGTCAATGATATTCGGGAAACTTGACAGGGATTTCTGCTTGTGTCTAAAGTCTTCGTTTCTTGGCAAAATAGATGTAGCAAGGAATTTTCGAAGCACATCTTCACATAAAAAATGTTAAGAATGACGCACCTATTGATAAACCTTTGGGTATCACCTATATTACCTGTAGTCTCGTTGATCATCGAGTGACTCGAGCACGCGCCAATAAATCATCCATTTTGCCCTGTCGAGTGCCAGGAACTCATCGAGCACCATATCTTTCTTCAAGGCTCTTTGTGAATAACTCTGAAAGTCAGGTCGGTGGTCTTGCTGCAATGCGTTTGACATCCCGAGGACTCCAGTCACTAACGGCTCTTGTCCATCGATTGTCGTTCATACGGATTACGTGTCCCGCTCATCTCATCTTCGACTATTTGGCGGACAGAACGGCATCTTTAATTTTTTGATCGCTGATGCAGATCGGAGCTTCGGATCTCGTCCCTTGTGTGAAAGAGAACGCTTCTAGCATCGCCCTTTCGACCGCGCGTTCAATAACGCTGGGTAATTTTTCATCAGATAAACTGTACCCGAGCTCATGCAATCACCGTCTCTACCATTAGGGCAAATTATGCAATAGAAAAGCTCCGTTTATCCCACCCTTTATCTCAAATGATGTAAGTGCAGCTATAAAACGCTGCTTAAGAATGGCGGATCTAGAGAATTCGTTAAACGTAGTTGAAATGCCACCGAGTACTCTTAAGGGCCAACTAGTTTGTAACCTATATAACCGTCTATGTGCAACGCAAAATTGCATAATTTGCCCTAATGGTAGAGACGGTGATTGAATGAGCTCGAGCACAGTTTATCTGATCTTCTGTAAAGCGTGCGAAGACGAATGCATTGGCGAAACAGGCAGACCCTCGGCATAAAAAAACACCTAATCGGCAAGCGTAAACTAAATACCCCACTAGGCCCGCATAGGACCCAGAGACATAACTGGGAGGACTTTGAAGTACGTGTCACGATCCTCGCACAGGAATCGAGAGCACAAGCGCGCAAAACTCTCGAGGCGTTCTGGATTAATTCCAGAAATCCGAAAACGAACCGCATGGAAGAATGCTTCATTATCACGAGTGATATAGGGCAGTATATAAACCTATCATTCTGATGGGAAGGGCACATTACTCATCGAGGTGAGTTCTGTGCCGTTGGTCTCCACACGATATACTCAGTGGAAGACTTATAGAGTGTGCAGAGCTGTGTTAAATGTGATTGAAATCTTGGTTTAGTGTTTTCTCTGTTTGGTTGTGAAGGTGTTTGGCCGAATAGGTTGCTATCAACTTGGCCTTTCCAGGCTCTGAGGAAGGCAAAATCCGCCGAAACGTCAGCCTATGCGTGAATAAAGAATAAAAATAACACCTCGCGTTTGCTTAACAAGAATACGAAGAATTCCTTGATCAATGCCGAGGTCAATAAAAAGTCGGTCGTGGGAGTTACTTCAGCGAGCCTCGTTAACGTGTGGATGTGGTCCATAGCACTGAATTTTCTTCGAAATCCTGCTTGGTCAGAAGGATGTTACTCTTCCAGTCTTTTGTCAATCCTCTTTACAATGACTCGAGTGAAAAGTTTGTAGACGACAGACAGCAAGCAGATTGGGCGATAGTTGCCGATATCGTGTAGGTCACCCTTCTCGAACAACAACATGGTCATGCTGGTCTTCCACTAAGTAGGAACATTCGATTCCGGCAGGTAACTTGTGAAGCCACTCTATTTATGACGACTGATGGGAGGTTCTTCGAGTGTTCAGACCTTATCCTGTCTTGACCTGGTGTTGCTCCATTTTTCGCCGACGAAATAGCACGTCGAATTTCCAAAAGGAAAACCAGCGGTGCGACGCATCCATTATTCTTTATCTCATGTGCGTGCAAGAGAACGTGGTTATTCAAGGGATCCGAGTTGCAATTGTGAATGACTCTCCGGTTCTATTCTGGAAGTTGTAAATAGTAGCAGTATGAACATCTTGGTCTTAGAATTGGTAAGGTTTTCGTGGGCTTTGCAAATGCTCTTTTCGGCCTCTTCTCCTTTGGCCGTAAAAAAAGCAAAGCTGTGGGCGTTGATCAATCCCTGAGGAGCGCTATGCATTCTACTTCACTAAGCATCGTTGAAGGTGACTGAATGCATATCTGGCTTCTACAATGACCTACGGTGCCCTACTCATAAATTGAGTAAGTGGTGCTATTCTTGCAAACAAGTCTGGTACCAATTTGCCGACCCCGGTGAGATGGAAGGCTTGGTGAGCCGAGTGCGTGGTGATCGATCCCATGTGTGTGTTACAGTGCGCCTGCGACCGCCGGGCAACACCCGCCCATCCTTTCGCCATAGCTTATGCAGTTCTCTTTTTAGGGCCTTGTTTTATCACCTATCCACATTGTTTGCAAGTTCAGATGAGAGTCCGTGGTTTCTAGTAACTTGTGCGATCCCACACAAGCGTATTAGCTGTAGTGTTTCTGGGGAAAGACTTTCTTTGGCGACTTTCGAACTTTCAACTTTTAGAGCGACGTTAGCGTGAGGATGTTAAATGAGCCGGCCATGCTACTCGTCAACATTATCAAGAACAGCATCTTTTCGACGGCGGTCTAATAAACTGAATAACTCTCAGTTCAGTGGTTCTGGTTCTTTGAGTTTTGAATTTAACGGCTTTTTCATCTTTCTGCGAGAAAATCTAGTAGTAGGAAGGCGATGGTCTGAACCCACGTAAAGTTTGAGACAACAGTGACATCAGTTAGGCAAAATTTTCGATTTACTATGATGTGGTTTATCTCGTTATGGCACTCTTAATTAGGAGACTCACACGTTCAGCCTTCAGAGTGGGGCGTCCGCGATTGCACGTAGCCGTGAACGGCTTTGGACATCATAATAAACTCAGACTACAACCCACCATGCTTGTTCCATTCTACTCAGTGGGTTCTAAGATAACGTTCTTCAGACGTTCTCCTAGGCCCAATCTTACGTTAAAACGCTTAATGATGTCCATAAAGAATAGCTATGGTTTTCACTGTTTCTCATTGCTGGATTCCTTATTCAATTTTTTTGACGGTGAGCGAGTGGTTTCTGAAACCGTAGCACGTCGTGAAGGGATTTGTTCAGCCTGATGAATTTAAGTATCCTCCATCCGTATCATTCCATAAAAATCTATGAGCCGCTCCGAGAGGTTTTTTGAACGTTCTCTTAGGCAAGTTTTAGCCTTTAACAAACCACTAATGGTTTTACAGAAAGTGATTTTTCTTAACTTTCTTAAACTCAGCACTGAACGTTTCGACACTTTTCTATTCTTTGTGGACTTGGAACGAATTCAGCAAGGATTATCAAAGACATCATTGGTCAATATCTTTGCTACAGTACTCAACCATTTAGGTTTATTAATTGCCCAAAGAGATCTTATTTGCAGGCGAATCACTGGTAAAATAACAAAACCAACTCCTTCCACTCCTCTATATCGAGCAGTAGTTTCTAATCAATTTTATAAACGGTGTAATATATCTGGGGTCAGCGATCTTGGCCACTTCGATGATGTACATGTTGTTATTGTTATTACGATCGCATCCCAACGATTTACCGCCTCATCGTGGCTGGGAGGTGTTCCTGGTGTCGGACTGCGGTGTACAGCGGGGGTATTCGTCCCGCCGGCAGGGTCTCCCAAGCTGAGGAGTCCGGCGTTTCCATCAAGAAGCGTAGCTGGCTTAACCAGCGAATCTTTGAAAAATGGTGATTATGCTGGGGCGTGCAAAACTAGTGAGGACGGGCCGTTCAAGTAACAAGTAAGTAACTCTATTACTTTCCATTTTCTATTTTATTTTACGCGACCCCTCACCACAACTACTGTGCAGATCCTTGCACTTCTTGTATACGAATCGTTTTTCTTGCATTTGTCGTCTACAAAGCTCTTCGAACATGTTGCATGTTGTTTCCGTTATTGCTTAAGAATTTCACCTTCCCTATAAATGGCGTAGAATGCCGATCGAGTCCATACAGCTTGCACTGGGAATGGCCGTGAGGAGAGGGGATCGAACCAGAACAATGATTGCTGATGCACTACTTCACTAATCGTTGTGCAGTCCCATCCCTACCCTCCTCCCCGTTTTTATTGCTATCATTATTATTATTGTGAGAACAATCTAACCTTGCTATATCAGGAGTTCAGAGAGAATCGACTCGACCAAATTCAAAGGCATTCGTAAATAAAGAAGACAGCAATCCTTAAGCTCGCTGGCCTTCGCAAATGATGGGTACAAGGGAATGATTTGAATATAAGGAATACCAGGATTGGCACGGTAGGTGTAGAGACGGACGTGCAGAATCAATGTATAAATGATTCACTGTGTTCCTTGATGAGCAAACACGAGATTCGTATTACAGGATTTATTAATTCACAGTAGCTGACGTTTGTACAAATAATCGTTATTATTATTAACATTCTGAAGCCGTTATCATACGGTCTTCCACTGAGAATTCAGATTCCAGTGTGTATGCGTTGCGAGTAGAAATGCTCAAGCCTACTCTGTGTGATCTAGGTTGCTTAGAGGATTTGTGGTATTTCGTAACTCGTCATATCCAACCCTGAAGAATTGGAATCTACTTCGGCAATAGCAAAATGAAAGCCTTTTCAGAGCCGATGTCAAGATAACTTTCCGGATGAAGTCTCATTGTCATCTTCGTCCTGCTCTGTACTCCACATTGAGCTTAAATATGGAGACAATACGGTTGACTAATTGATCTGAACTTTATCCGTTATCAGTTGATTTTTAACACACGTGTGATAATTAGCTTAAAGTATGTTTTTCACTTAAAGCAATGTGAACTGAGGCTATATGAGGTGGGTTTCTACCATTTGCTGTGATTTCTTTATGATGCCTACTCCACTCTAACTTATTGGATTTACAGATGAATTACATCGTTCCGCTCATTGGCATGTTCAATGTCATCGATGTCACAGTCGCACCTAAGTGCATTCGGTCGAAACCATTTGGACTCGTCCACAAGTTTATAGAAGGCGAATCGTTTGAAGTACTTCACACAACGACAATGCGAGATATCAGCTCGCTGTTCGATGCAGATGATAGATTGGTGTACGCTAAGAATCCGTTTGCAAATAGATCGGTATGTTGTAATTCTAGTTCGCAGAGAGAAAGAAACAGCCAACGAGTGTCCAGATGATCGAAATTAACGAATTAACTATGTCGTTTATTAAAAGCAGTCCATAATTCGTTAGTGATATCAATTGAGATTCGTCAGAGAAACATTAAAACAGAAGTAGAGAACTTCACGACTGGAACAAGTTAGGGTTGAGGACATGGTAAAGCACGAAGAACAGTTTGTATGATTTGACCGTTTTTAGAATGATCATATTTGTTATGATGCCGTTTTGATTTTCATTCTTGTTGAATTCGACTTCCTAAAAGGTGAGCACATTGGTGCGGCACTCCTTACTGTGAGTTTTTCTCGTTTCCCCTTCAATGACCTCACAGCAATCGTTCAATATTCAAGCCTTATACAAGCTTTACAGTGTTACGATAATGAGGGCAACAAACTACAAGATATTGGTTACGTTATTGGATATGATGGCAAACAACCAAACAGACTACTTGTTAGTAAAATAATAGACGTACGCGGTGCGATTCACGGTGATTGTCAGGAGGATCCACGACTATCAAGTTTGATGTTAATATCGTCAGGAACTCATATGCTGCATTTCACACATATCTACGTACTTATCATTACATTGATAGCCGTTTTCCATTATTTACACTAATAAGACGTGTGGAAGAAAAAGTGAGATGTATTATATTAAACGATTATTTATGTCTACAATAAAAGCTTTGGAAAAATGAAATTGCAAAAGACTTTACCTGGATCATTTGCAATGTTGTTAATCACTGAGTAACCTAAGGAACTGTCAGTAAATCGCCATTCGTCTCCGTCCTGTATCAGAGCTGCTCAGTTTCTTTCCGCTTGCTCGAACCATAGAGCCTCTGAGGAAAAAAGCCGAAAAGTTAGGTGCAATAAACGTTTGTAATGATTTACGACAACCTCGTGTAAGCTAATCAATAGAGGAGAACATTGATTATCCATGTCGAGGTCCAGTGAAAATCGGAATCGGATTAATCCGGCACTGAGGAAGACGAGGTCATCGAAAACGTTAAAAAGAGGATAAAGCTCTCGGCGTTGATCAACCTCTGAGCGATGCGCCATGCATTCGACTTAATTAAACATCGTTAGAGGTGATTTAATGCATATCTGGCCTTCACAATGACACGCGGTGGCTTACCGATGTATCGAGGTAGTGCTGATATCCTTACAGACAAGTGTGGCACCAATTTGCCAACCCGAAAGGATGGAGGACTTGGTGGGCCATGCGAGCAGAGATCGGTGCCATGGGTATTATTGACCACTGTGCTATACACGTTCCTGTTCGAAATATTAGCCCCAACAAAAATCGGCATAAAGCTCGTGTAAACTGAGCAGTCTAAAAATATATTGGTTCCACACTTAATGTATTGACGGAGGATTTGCTATTCACATAATTCAACCGCAAAATTTCGTTTTTTATATTTGGATTTCAAGGACATTGATTTGTGGGGTGATAGAAACATAGAATATCTATCCCAGTATCATATGATGTAATATAAATCATGTCATTGTTAAAAGATTTTAAAAGAAAGAAAGGCCCAATTTATATTCCGAGATAAAGAGTGAAAGAATGCGATATTGCTATTATATTCCCACTTGTGAGAATAATATAGCCGAGAGTAGTACTAAGATTTCTCTGGTATAGAATGAAATAGCGAAACACATGAGGCCAACGGCAGTTTTCTGCCTTTTGTAGAAACTGAGGAAACAAAACTTGTCAGTGAAGAGAGCAGCCGATACTTTTCCTAGGGAATAGAAGCGCAATGTATCGAATCCAGTTCATTAAGAGACCTGCAAAAAGTTCAACAGTTTGTTAAGTCGGTGTTTTTATTTCTCCGATTAATTCTGGCACCAATCCTTCAACTCAACGCGAATAAGAGGCTCCGCTACCCGATGTGCAAGAGTGTGCCAACAATCACTTGTGTATCGAAGTGCACTTCTAAACTGAGCTAGAAGCGCCATCACCTGTAGGTGTCATCTGTAGTCCCGCATTGGTGAATGAACTAGTAGAAGAGCACTTTATCTCCAACATAACAAAATAACAATCCAAAGTAAAATTCTAAATTTTGAAAGGCGAAATGTCGCTAGTGTTATAAGGCAAAAAATAGAGTAAACACAAACGTGTACCAGATTAAAGACAACAGTCGTATACTTGGATGCACGGGTGGCGACCCATCTTCACGAGCTGTGCAAACCCAGAACACTTTTCATTCGCTTTTTTTTGCCCCAGGTTTGATTTGCTCATGGTGGACTGCTGGCCTTATATCCGTATCTGTAAAACAACCGTGACTGCGAGTACGGGTACGAGTACCGTTTCAATTACAAACACATCCACATAACGTATGGTCATTTTAGGGAATGCATGCATCCCTGTGGGTTCTACTCTACAGTGCTTTTCATTTATTTCTCGTTCGTTCTTCTAATCGTATGAGCAACCCGTATGTGTCCCGTTATCGATTTCTTTCTTCCTGGGTCTCAAAGATGAAATGGATTTTGTTGATCAGAACGTCGCATTCCGGCTAAATATTGTGTTTCGGTTACATTCAAGAAGACATCGTACGAGTAGTGCGCAATATTCTTGACGTGGTTGAAATATCAGCCCACGTCCTCGCCGCATAACAGAGCGCCAGGACTATTGTCCAATCGAAAATTTTCGGGTCTTTAGTGGATGGGTTGCTTCTTTAAAAGAGCCAAATGCGGCCCATGCTGCATTACTCTTTCCAATATGCGCAGGTTACACTGACGAGGTGGTCTCTGTAATCATAGAACCATCCAGTTTGACCAACTAGCCCTCGAAATTCGGTCTTTTTTTATTTGTACGCAGTCCAACTATTTTTCCCAGTTTGTTGGCTTCATAGCTCTTTCTGACCGCATCGTCGATACTTTTTGAGGAAATGACGTTATCGTCCACAAAGCTAAGTCTTAACAGAAATTTTCCAACGTTTTACTTTCTATTTTCTACCTATTACAATTTTCACGGCAGGGTACTAAGCGAAATACAACCACAATGTTGCTGAGATATTTGCAAAGCTCTGGACCGTAGGTGTCTAAGGTGGGGAACGAACGCGCTATTGTCCTTTCCGTGGAGTAACGCGTTCACCACCACACCATGCGGGTCCTTCGTTTCGCCTGTCTTTCAGCTAGTTCTATCGATCAGCACCATCAGCAATCACCCGTCAACGGGATTGATCTGGGTAGCCCACATCAGCATTGTAGCCAGTTAAGCTGTGGCTGTGGTTGAAATCCACGGAAAGGACAATAGCGCGTTCGTTTCCCACCTTAGATACCTGCGGTCCAGAGAAATTTTCCACTTATACGTATGCTCCGTACAATAGTAAACAGTATTTGCGATATGGTGTGACCTGCTGGACTCCTTTTTATATGAGTATGGCAAGAGGTCGAAGGAAAAGCTGTATTTCTATGGTCCAGTTCTAATAAATGTCACGAAGAGTTATGTAGGACGGGTCCACTCCTTGATCGCTCGGCATCGATAGGATTGCATTCATTTCAATTCTGTCAAGCGATTCACACTCTACAAAGGTCAAGACTAGCGGTAAATAGTGTCCTCAGCAACCTCGGTTCTGACTTATATACCGTCGATGCAAAAAAATCGTTGGAATCCTGCTTGTTTAACTGGTTGTGCCTATTCCGATGTCGTTGATATGCGTGATGGGATAAATTTTGTGAGGAGCTTGTAGAATACAATCAGCAAGCACATTCGATAAGTGTTGCAAGGATCCAGGTTGCCGTAGATGACGTTCTCCTTAAGGTTTTTTTGTCTTTTGAAAATAAGGGTCCTTAAGCTGTGGTTTTCTTCATGCTTTCTGCAGCAACTCGAAGTTCAGGGAAAAGAGTTCCAGGTGGCTTTTCTCTGGCGAAGATTTTGAGTTCCCAGACCGAAACGGTGGAAAAAGAAAGGTTAGTGTAAAACTATTTCGTTACCAATTTCGTATCATAGTGGGAGGGCTTAGTGATCTCATCTTGATCCATCAGAGATGAGAGTGGAACATTATAGCCGCACAGATTCCGACGTCTCTTCTCCATATTGATCATTTTTGTGCTGCTTCTAACAGTTTCTTCCGTCTGTACCGATATTGATCCTTCTGTAACGCCCTTCTGCAACTTGCACTCGTTACCAGCCGTGTAAACGTGTTTCAGTTTGATCAAGCTTTTTTTCCTTCGTTTTTCCAAAAATTTCTTAGTTAATGGAAGTGCGGTACGAACTTCGTTTTCGAAGAAATGAGAACAATTCAGCACACCATTTAAGCCCTTTGGGAAGCAGCTCGAAGCTTTTTGTTCGCGTTTTTCTTTATCAGCCAGTCACCTTAGGATAGAATTTTGTTCCGAGTGTTCCCAATATATAGAGCTTGACTCTTTCTTTTTGGTCAACGACATGAATACTTCTCCACTTGCAGCTAGTACCAGACTTGCTTGGGAGGATAGCACCACTGGCTCTATACATCGGTTGATCAGCGCGAGTTATTGCATAGGCCAAATATGCACCTCCAAACGGTGCGTAATGAAGTCGAATGCATGGTGCACCCTCAGGGTTAGATCAACACCGAGAGCTTTGTCTTTTTATTATAGCACACGTCAAATTTTGGAAGTTAAAGTTCGATGGGCAGGTAGTAGGGCTGAACTGCAATAAATGGACAAGAGCAGTTAGATGAGATGCAGTTAGAGCTACTCAAGATGTCAAAAGTAGAACAGGAGGACCATCGACAAGAAGGGCAGAGTTGTTCATGAAAACCCCATAGAAAGATATAATGCTCACCGATTCCCTAAAGCGGGCAAAATCCACTGGACTACTCCAGCATGCAACAAGGAAAAATGGGAAATTTACAGACGCCGCTTCGACTCACTCGATGATAAACGGGACGAAAAGTGGCAGGCGATTTGTTGTCCATTTGAGTAAAATACTTTTAAATCTTGCTTTATTTACATGGGGTCGGATCAATGAAACTAACAGACCATTGGAATCCAAAATAGTTTGTAAAATTTCAGGGTGGTGAACGTAAATAGCTTTGACTTAAAACTAAAGGTGGAATAATAAAAGCGGAAATTTCGACAACAGTAATATTGCAGAGCACGAAAAATACGCAAAGTGCGAAGATTTCTAGGCATGAACCACGTTAGCTAATAAACTTTTTGAAATTCACTGTTGTTCACAGGAAAAAGAAAAGTCTTAGTGCCAACTTGATTTATTAAGTTCACATGAGTTTGCCAAAAAAAAAAGATCTACTAGGCTAACGGTTAGGTGATCCACATCAGTTGCTTCTTCCTGCGATGTGAGGCTTCCTAGCCATCAAATCGAGTCTAATCGAATAGAATTGAGAACCTCACGAACAAAGTAGTGTCGCACAGCGCTACTCATTTATAGAACATTTCAACCCGTTCTTTATTGTGGCAGGTTGAGAGGGCACCTTAACCATGCGCTGACTCTACCCCGCCCGTGACTTACGAAGTCTCTCATCCCTTCGAGGTTGAGAAATTGCCACCAGACTTGTCTAGAACAGCCTCACTCACGCCAATCGATGTAGAAAGCCTCAGCAAGGCAGTCTCAGGGTTCCAGGAAGAATTGGCACTGCCAGCATTCAAAGATATTCGTAGCGAACGTGAAAA